GGAGCGCAACCTGTTCTCACTCTTAAGTCGTCAAAATCTGGCGCTTGGGCGGCGACTTGTGGCTTCAGACACTGACGAAAAAAGCTGTCCTTTAACATCAGCATGATACACGTCCGGTTGGCAGTGTCAGGGGGAAACGAAGCAGGACGAGAATGAACGTTAAAGCAGAACTTTAAAGCAGCGACAGGCTCATTAGGGCGGATGGGAGGTGTGTTGTATGGGTCCAACTTACATCGACTTTTACCCCAGAGAAAACGGAAGTGTATTTGAAGAGAAGACAATGCATGTAACGTGCAGACTTTGACACAGCGTCCCAGAACGTCAGCAACCAACACACCCAGGGTACCTTTCACGACATACCTGGACGCGCAGGTCCATGACCACACATCGATATGTGACAAGGTCGGAGTAGGAATGTGTTGGGCGTGTTGACTGACATAGATCAGTAGTACTTGAAAAGATCCAAACTATCGCTTTAAGTAAAAGTACTATTATTGTCAAACAAAAACCTCTGTTACTCATTTTAAATCATAATTTGTTTGGAGCTAATACTTTGGACAACATAATTTCATAAAATGATGACATGATATGATCAGTTCACAATAATACTTAATCAATGTCCAGCCTCAGCTGTCATGTTCTCAGATTAATACATTAATTTAGTTAGTTTTCAGGCTATTTTGCACTTATTTATTTCATCTTGTGAGGATCTGATGCTTTGGCTGCTTTGTCTTTTGCATTTTTAAAGTGAAGACACAAATTGTTATTTAGAAAATAGTTTTCAGTAGTTTTTATTTAATGGTTTTTAGGGAACTGCCGAATTTATTTGTAGCTGTAGAATGGTGGCCAGAGTTCACTGCAGCTGGCCTCCTCATATTTGGGGATTTACCTGGATTATTATCCTATTTTCAAACAACACTTTAAGATTAAAGCTGACTCCCAGCCAGCTGCTCTACATTACTGTTTGCTCTGGCTGAGCTTTGTCTTGGTACAGTAGCACAGTTAAATTTATTCACTCAGATAAAAGAGATCCGCTCAGTGAGGTGGGCACAGAGTGGGATCATTGTGGTGTCAGACAGTTGATCAGATCCTGTGTGTAGCTGTACTTTGTGTGTGTGTGTGTGCATGTAAGGGTTCAGTACTGTAGCTTGAGGTTGGCCAGGCAGCAGCTGTGTTCTGTGTTCTTGGAAATTTAGGGGGTGTCCAAAAAAATGCAGTACCACGGTATTAATCCAGCGTGCCCACACTGGGGACACTGGCTGTCAGTTTATCTGTTCACCCCTCCACCCCTCACCCACAGCCTGCCTTCCCACCATCCCAAAAGCAGCCCTCACCCAATCACAGGTGGAGGATCACGTTTCATAGCTGGATGGTGGGGTCAGAGTCGGGTTTGGGTTGCAGGGCGGCTGTAAAGCAATAGGTCAAATCTATCACAGTCAGTAGTAACACAGCTTCAGTTCAGACGTGAAGGAAGAAGAACTTATATCTCATAACTTATAAACGTGGCCAAAGTTTCAAATGAGGTAAACAAATGTGAAATGAATCCCTTGAGCAATAGCCTCAGGCTTCAGACCATTCTGGATACTCTGTTCCTAACATTTTTTCTACTTTGGCTACAAGCTGACATTAACTCGTGACAGATTTCTTTTTGGTCATGTGCTTCAGGGACTAAGGTGTTGACATCAGGTAGCCGACACTGCTCCATGAAGCTACATGCTAACGTCAGGAAAACATGTGATCTTGGTTGCTGATGTTGTAAATGTTTCCATGACTTTGGATCATATTCCTTCTGAAGCATGTCCAGTTGTGTTTAGAAACTTTTATTGAGGATTTTTCAAGATAGACCAACCCAGTCTGACTCTGAAGTCCGACTGAAGACGAAGAAGATGCAACCGGTCGTCGTTATAGTTCAATGGCGCTTGGCTACATCAGAGGGAAACCTGGCAGGACAAGAACGAAGAAGTTAAGATGGTGAAAGTCTGAGTAGGCGGGCGGGAGTTGTGGTGAATGGGTCCAACAAAAACTGACTTTCACCCAGGAGGGTGGTGTCCACGTCCCGTAAGATTATAAAGCTAAACCCTGCTCTTTTTTCCTAACCCTAACCACGTGCTTTTGTTGTCTAAGGAAGAAAAATCTGTCTATTTACTGAATTTTACTGATGTAGTGCTTTTATTGTGAAAGAGACTGTATGTAAACGGTAAATGTCCTGTGAAAACAAAGGTGTATTTTAAAAGAAGACAATGCATGTAACAGGCAGAACTGGACACACCTATATGTGACACGGCTGGGTAGACAGTGCAGCAACTCTCAGTTAAAGTCATTCTCAGGCTGGTTTACTGTATGAATGATAGTACAGAGACATATAGAGACAAAAAGCTGACCAATCAGAGCAAACTGGGCTTAAAGAGAGAGGTGCTAAAGTGGAGCATCTCAGAGAGTGAAAACAGATGTTCCAGCAAGTGTTGTTCCAGACAGTCTGATGAAAATAAAGTGTTTTATGAACATTGAAGCATCCAATCATGTTCCAAACACAAAATACAAGCATGAACCTAAAAATGAGCATGACAGGTCCCCTTTAAATGTATTACCAGAATGTGTGGATGGAGGTCTCAGATGGGGCCCACAGCTCATTTATGTCCCGGGGCCTGCTTGCTGGTTATCCTGACCCTGACTCCCAAGAGTTAGAGCCTGCAGGTGAATGATGGTGTTGTTGGGACTGATAAACATTTTGGAACAAGCTGTTTTGTGTTCAGTTCTTGCTCACGCTGTGTGGTTAAAGTACAGTTTGTTCATTCTGCTACTCTCGATGTGACACAGCATGTACGTCACGTTATCAGGATGTCAGTAGAGTTTACTGTGTGCTTATGAGATTCCTAATTGAAGCTTCCATGTTGGTTCTGCAGGAGGTGATAGTGACGGGAGTCTACCGCCTCGATTCCAGAGGGGCAGAGCGCCGCTGGCTCCCACCGACACTCCCAAACTGTGAGAACAGTCTCTCCTGGAAACACTCGTATTATCTACAGTATAGCAGTATGAATGTGTCACATGTCACTTGTTCCAACACTGTCTCCTCCTCGCTCTCTGTTCTCACCTCAGCTAACACCATGAGTCCTGAACACCAAGAAGCTTTTTCTTCGCTCTATTTAAATTACAGTTTCAGTGATAAAGCAGCTAATATCAATATTTGGGGGCTGATATTTATAACCATAATAATTTAAATTGATTTATTGCCTACAAAATGCAAATCTTTTGTGCTTGTAGTTTTCTTATCAAGATTTGAAGCATCATGAAACTCTGAAATCTGCTTTAAAATCTTAAAGCACCATATTTATTCAATTTAAATTAAACTTGTAGATATTTTAGAATTTTAATGACGATGGCATCTAAGATTTAAATCAACAATTCATACAAACAGCTGAGTGATTCAATAAAAAACCCAATCACCAGAAAAAAATGTTGGCATTGCACGTTTTAGCAAACAATGGAGGTGTTACATTTACACGTTATTATGTTGCAGAGACTTTGAACAATGCTGTGGTGAAAGTGCATTTAGGTTTCGGCACAAAAACCACTTGGTGATGGTGGGAAAAGATCGTGTTTGGGCTGTAAATATCCGCTTTTGGGGGCACAATCCTGACAGGAAAAGCACTGATGTTTTGGTAAAACATAACATGTTCTGGTTCTATCCCATGGTGGAAAGACAGCGACAGGTTACTGCAAAACACCCATGTTTGGAGCCTAAAAAGCTGCTGGAAGCACATCAATTACTTGCTAAAAAATAACAGCTTTTGTTGTTTGTTGGTGAAACATAAAGTGGTCTGCAGCTTGACAGGCCTCTCACCTAGGTGTCACACCACCCACCATCCCCCCTCACCCCCTGATGACAGAGTCAGCTCATATACTCAGTTTAGAAACATTGATAGGATTCGTATGAAACGTGCAAATGTAATTTATCAGCAGTTTGTAGATACATATAATGGCAACTTTTTTTTTCTGGTAAATGGGCTGCAATAAAATGCTCAAGGAACATTTATACTGTGTGTTTCTTTAGCTGCTATCAGAGAGAAACATCTGTCCAATTAAATATGTTGACTTGCAGATTGCCACATTTAATAAACTACCATTTAAATCCACGATTATTTATTTAAGTGTCACTGGAACTGAGGACAGAAGGACAGCTTTCACCAGCATATTAAATGTCTGTTATTTCATGTAATAAAAATGGATACTGAGATACTGAAACGGATGAATTTGGTTTTCATCTCACATATATTTGATGTTAAAACTATGACTGTCTGATTTGAATGTCACATGATTTGATGTTAGATTTGACTTTTGATGTGTTTTTTCCCCCACAACTCTAACTCAGTGTTAAGAAAGAATATTGATTTAAATTAGTGAGGTTACCACACATTTTCTGGATCGAACTGACTGAACAACTGCTTGAAAATCAGCAGGCCAGTATAATACTCAATTCTTTATCCTTTCGAGAGCTGTTATTTTTTAGCATTAGTTTTGTATATTTCTCTAGAACTTTCCACACATGTACGAACACTTAACCTGCAGCTTGGCCTGTTTAGATTTTTCTCCATTTCACTTTCATGTTTCATTGGTCTGAATGCACCCTTAATAATGTCAAATTCTTCTGTAGGAGAACCTCTTTGTTCTTCTTTGGCGATATATTGGATGCCTGTACATCATGTTTTTTTTTTTGTTTTTTTTTTAATTTTGTAACTAATTAAATATTTAATACACGTGTAAACTGTGAACTGCATTATTTGTCTTGTTATTGACTTCCAAAATACAGAGATGGGACTAAAATGAAGATGTCTGTGTTTTGTTCATGGGGCCATGATTTCTTCATAAAGCTCTTTGTGTGCAGTGAAGATGTAGTTTGTTTTCTGTGACTGTCTACTTCCTGTCATATCTGTGAGAAGGTCACTTAAAGGCCCAGCGTGTACAGGATTTAGGGGGTTTATCAGCAGAAAAGAAATGAAATATAACAAGTATGTCTTTATCAGTGTAACTGAATTGGTGTCCACCAATGTCAAACATCAATATTTAACTTTCAAACATCTACAGAGAAAAGCAGAGCACAGTCACCAGTTTATTACAAGACAAACTGAATTCAGCACCATTAAAACTACAAGTTAGAAAATATGTAAGAAACCTGGAACATCCTAAAACCAGAATACAGAAGAATAGGGAGCTGCAGGGGGAGAACGGAAAGGCAAACCTGAATAACAACAAAGTCATGATGTTGGAGGATCAGTGGATTAGCCAAATAACCAAATAATAAAGTACAACTAGGCTGCTTGTTATCAGTAGCAGAGTGATCGTCTCTCTAATGGTAACTTCCTCTCCAGGATAAAATGCAGTCTTTGGCTCTGATCATTATGGTCAACAGTGAAACAGTGAAAGTTGGGTGACTTCACTGTAGATGTGTTTCCCCCCTCAGTGTCTTTCTGAGTAGATCTCACTTCCTTAGTAGAAGCCACACACCTGCACCAAGTCATGTGACCACGGAGCTCCTCGTCTGACGTGGAAGTTGTTCACACACAGTGGCTCCTCTCGCCTGAAACGAGCACACTTCAATGTCATTTAAATGTTCTGTTTCTTTCTTTCTTTATTTGCTGAAACTGTCTTTACATCCACAGAGTAGTATATGACACAGATAGTGTGTGGGGAAAAAAATCACGTTTTATTGCCGTCTCATAGTGCCTCTTATGGCATTTGCAAGAATCCACCACATGTGATGGAAAACAACCAATCAGAGCTGAGGAGCCTCTAACGCAGAATGTACTGTTTAAATAAAAAAAACATTTTACTGCCATTTCTTGCTCATTGGCCAACATAAACACAACTCATTACAGTGGAAACCCATCAGTGTCACTGAGTACAGAACTTAAGTAACTGTAAATCAAGTCAGATATACAGCCCTGACTACTTGTATACTTTATCTCCGTATGTGGCCGCTCAACAGAAACAGGCCTGGAAGCTGTTGTTGATTTACAGGACAAAATCTAGCAAGAGGAGGCGTGGGAGCTCCAACAGAACAATATGTGTGTGCACGTCATGTGACAGGTATACTGCACCTGAGAGAGGGGAACTTTGTGAGGCACACAGACTTGACGTGGACGTCTCCCTGTCTGTAGAAACGAGCTCCGGTGTTCTTCAGCTTGATGGTGTGGATCTCACACAGAGCGACGGGGTGAGACAACACCGTCCTGTACACCGTCGTATCTGTCCGACTGCAATACACACACATAAACACACATTGTGCGTGTAAATAATGTTGTCATAACCACACAAGACCAGACACACACTCAGATAATCAACGTTCATCACACAGGACAGTTGTTTCCTTCTGTGTTTATGACTTGGACAGACTGACTGCTACGTCTCACGCTGCTTTTCTTGACTGTTACATTTTCGTTTTTAATACAAAAATATAAACCAGTGGTGGAAGAAGTACCCTGATCCTTATCTTTAGTAAAACTAGAAATACCACAATCTAAAAATACTTCATTACAAGTAAACATCATGAAGTATGGAAGCATTATATGCAAAATATACTTTAAGTATGACAAGTAAAAGCACTCATTATGCAGAATGGCTCCTGTTTTTGTTTTTATCACTTACAAATACATGTGAGAGTATTTTATAGTTTGGTCATAATTCCTGTAAGAATTTTTGAGTTATGGCCAACAACATGTTTTGTGAGGTCACACTGACCTTTGACCTTCAACCACCAAATTCCGATCAGTTTATTCTTCAGTCCAAGTGGATGTTTGTGCCAAATTTAAAGAAATTTCCTTGAGGTGTTCTCAAGATATCACGTTCAAGAGAATGAGACAGATTCAAGGTCACACTGACCTTCACCTTCGGCCACCAAAATCTAATCAGTTCATTGCTGAGTCTAAGTGAATGTTTGTGCCAAACATCAAAAAATTCCCTAAAGGTGTTCTTGAGACATCTCGTTCACGAGAATAAGACAGATTCACGGTCACATTGTATTTGACCTTTGGCCTCCAAAATATAATCAGTTGCTGAGTCCAAGTGAATGTTTGTGCCAAATCTGAAGCACTCTACAGTCAATCAGAACTGAGTATCAACCAGACCATGGTATAATGTAATATGATATAGTATAATATAAAAGCTGTGTCTCAATTCAGGGGCCGCAGCCTTTGAAGGACGCATCCCTCGCGGTCTACGTCAGCCACGTCCTTTGAAGGCCGCATCAGCCAAACTGAACAGATTTCCTGGTTGCATCACCAGTTGTTCTCGCCCCGAACTGTTGGTGTTCTTGTTACCTATAGCAACCAGCTGCGCTTGATGAAAGAAGGAGTAAGCTAGTAAGTTAGTGAGCCCTAAATCATGGACCCAGAGACTGTTATTATGTATATATATTTTTCATTCAATACTTGAGGAGATGATTCACCGCCAGGGACACCACCATTTGATATATTTCAGGCTGATGATGGACCGTGTTCAGATAAACTAGCTAATAGTAATTTTAACAACAGTTAACCGTTAGCTAGTTAACAACTGTTAGTTAACTCAATATATAATTGTCAACGGCTTGCAATGCATCTTGGGATAGGTTGGGCCATGAAGGATTCATCCATTGCATCCTCCAGATTCTGGGAAAGAAGGCTGCATTTCTCGGCCACATTTGAAGCCTTGGTAGCACCGGTGTGATGCAATCGGTCTTCAAATGAAGCCTTCAAAGGCTGCAGCACCTGAACTGAGACACAGCTAATATAACATTATATAATATAACAGCCTGGCCACAGAGACTGGCAGACACAGGCAGGCCTGGCTGCAGAGAGAAGACAGGCTGTGTCAGCTCTGTCCTCAGAGACAGGTCGAGACAAAGCACTATTTCCTGCTACACTGAAGCATAGATGACATCAAAATCAAGTTCTTTACAAAAATAAAATGTAAACTCCGAGATTTTGATTCACTCTCTGACCAGACTAAAATGCAACATCTGCTTGGAGAAAATAGTGTCAGCGCTATAGATGCAGCAAGATATGTCAGTGAATGTCACAGCCTAAGAGACAACAGACACAACAATATATAGTTCATGTCATCACATATAATATATCTAGAACTGTAAGAATGTTAGTATGCACAATGTGAGCAGCTGAAGTCCTCCTGAACTCAGGTGAATCTGTACACATATCTCTGCACCTGGCCAGGCCTGTTTACAGTGAAACATACAATACATCTCTTCTATAAACAGAAGCTGCCTGCTCAGCTTTTCTGGGAAAACAAAAAAAAAAAGACATTACAGTACAAGTTCTGGGATGAGCGCTGCTGCATCGGAATCTGTCAAACAGACCAGCTGTCACACTGAATCTGCTCCACTTAAACTTCTGGTCTGATATCAGAGTTTAGATTCTGTAACAAGGATCATGGATGATGTAACTGGACCTCTTGTTGGTGTGCACGACAACAATATAAACAATAACACCCTCTTTTTTTTATCACTATCTCACCAACACAACACTGAACCACAGCATTTTGTTCTGCATGTACAAAACAACATCTATGTGTAGAGAGGACTTTCAACAGCTAAAATTTCTGGAAAACTGAATAAAAACTGTGACGTTACAGATGTGGTACCTACAGCCTGAGCCGCCGCTGTGTTCCCTGGTTCTCGGTCGTCAGTGTCACCTCCAACTCAGCGCTCTTATCCAGAGGAGAAACCTCCAGCTGCAGCAGGATGTGATGAGCTGAGCAGAGCGGGAAACATAGATTTAATACTGAACTACGACATAAAAACTTTTGTTTGATTGCTGGAATGAAAGAAGGGCACTATATAAAACATTCAAATAATTAGCCATCTTGAAAGCTCAACTGGTAAGACTGCAAATTCTTAGAGAATCCAAATATCAGTGTGTTTGAATAATCAAGTTCAAGGACAGTCGGACACTCACAGCAAAAAGGTGGTGAAGACGTAGTGAGCAGGAACAGCTTCTGCTCTCTGGGGAGTGGAGACGTGGTTATCCCATTGTTTTCTGATAAACCTGAAAAAAAACACACACACACCCTTGTAAGTGGAGTCATGGTGTCAAGCAGCTGCCCATACGTCACACAAATCAAACAGGCTCCATGTATGTTAACTGTGTCACTGTATCAGCGCCTGTTGGAGTATCAGAGGGTTGAAATGATAAGAAAGTGCCAAAAGCCGCAGTGTGACGAGACCGGAGCTGCTGCCTGAGTGCAGCCTGATGTCATATCTGCTGGTGATACTGAGACTTCACAGATACCCAGTTTATATTCTTTCAGTGGTTTGATTTTACCCCACCTTCCTGTCCCTCCACACCCTGATGGAAACACCTGTGACTGTCTGTCTTTTACACACTGTGAAAATACTCCACTGCAAGTAAATTCAAAACAATTATCAAGATATGAGACGATATATATCTTGTTAGATTTTGGATGTCCTTGTATCGTGATGTATCGTGGTGTTTTCCCCCATTTAAAAGGCTGCATTGCAATAAAGTGATATAAATCTATCAATTTACCAGACTTTTATATTGGTTTTAATGCTTGTCTTAACCTTCTTAATTGGTACATTTACAGTACTGATGATTATTAATCTATGCAGACTCTACGCCATAGCCTACGCACGTAGCCTACGCACGTGGCCTACGCACGTGGCCTACGCCATTGTGAGCATTTATACTTGTGTTTTCGTGTCTGCTGCAGTTACACCTCCAAAAACTCTAGTCAGCGACAGGGTTTCTGTGAAGTGCCGTCAAGTTTAGTTTATTCAAAACACACCCAAAATCCACTTTAATCACGACTTAATAGAGACAGTTTCAAACACAAGTACACAAATCAGCTTCACTATAACTCGCAGCATTCACAGACGAACACTTGTCTTTATTTGGACACATTTTCCCCACAAATACAACATTCTAACATTATTAGCACAAGCCTATGGCATTTTATATTGTATAAATTAGCCTAGCAGCTAGCAGACTTTTCCTCTACTCATATAAAGCCAAGGACAACAACAACATTTAACAAAGGTCATGTTACAAATTCGGCTCCATTACAACTCATAAGGTTCACTGACAAAACAACTGTCTTATACTAAACATGTTTTCCAAGCAAATATAACATGTTAATGTAATTAGCACAAGGTTATGGCATTTTACATTCTATAAATTAGCCTAGTGACAAGCAAAGATTTTTGTGGAGGCTTTATTGTCTTCACAATTTATTGTTTCTTATCTGTGAAAGTAAAGTAACGTAAAGTAAATAAAAGCTTCGTTTCCACTGAGGGAAACAATTTCAGCTTCCAGAAATAGACAGGAGGTCTGTGTCGCCGCGACGTGTGGTTACATTTCTGGGGAGGTGCACGTCAGGCTACAGTGTAGGGTATGGCGTCGATTCAAAGCAGAAGTATAAATCCATCATTAAAGACATCCCCCTGGCCACCCCTTTGGTGCACCACTGAGATACATGATTTTCACTGGACAGGAAGGGGTAAAAACCTGTATTCTGAAAAGTGACTAAAGCTGTCAGATGCATCTAGTGGACTAAAAAGTCAATCAATCAATTGATAAAAAGTACATAATTTGCCTCTGAGTTGTAGTGGAGTAGAAGCACAAAGTGGCAAGAAATATAAATACTCAAGAACAAGTCCCTCAAAGTTGAAGAACAGTATTTGAGTAAATGTAGTTTGTATCAGAGGCCTTAACAGTACTTCTCCAGTGAGTCTATTTATATGGTCAGATATTTGTAATATATTTTTTGTAGCATGACATAAACAACTCAGTCCCCAACATCATGTTGAAGGAGTGACTTCAGGTAATATTAAATAAGCATGCAGAAAATAACCATCTTTATTTTTCACGTAACTCATTTAAATACGGCTTGTGTTCTCTCACCTATAGTTGGACACCTGCCCTTGAAGATATCACAGTCCAAACAGCGTCCCTTCAGGAAGTCCTCATAGCTGTGGCACGGGATCCCCACTATCGGGCACGAGCCGTTGAGTGCGCTCATGTAGACATGCAGCGCCCTCATGTGGTCACATATCACATAACCATACACTGGGAAGTAGATGAGAACTGACAGAACACACAGAGAACACTGACGGAGCCAGGTGTCTACAGAAAATTATACTTATTTAAAATTTTAAATGTGTCAAGAGAGTAAAGTGGACAGTCTGAGCTATATTTAGAGGACACATTTATAAACAACAGACTCTCTAAGGTTGTTTATTCTCAGCTTTTAGGTTTCAGTGAGTGCTGAACTTACTTGAGTTGAACCTGGAGCGAGCACATCCAGTCTGGTCCTTTCCTCCGTTCAGAAAGAAGTCCACATGACCGACAGGGATGGAAATACCAAAATCTGATGCAGAAATCAAACCTCATTAATGCTGCAGTGGTGCCTTTAGTACTTAAGTGATAATGGAAAAGAAAACAGCGTAATTGTAAGGCTTTATGGTATTCAATGTAGAGTTTTCTCACAGTCAGAGTCTGTGTGGATGGCGTCGACAAACTGAGCATCAGACGGGTCCAGACGGTCATATGTGTCGGCTCCTTTAAACATGGGACCAGCTGGGTCAACACCTGGGTCACAAGAAGAAGAACATATGTTTAGGAATAAAAGGACAGCATGAAATTCACTTCATTGGAAATAATGATTCAGGAGGATTTTTTTCCTTGAGTGCTCTGAAAATGTTTTCCCATAGCATGAGAACTGTGATGAGCCTGGTTTTTCTTGGTTATGTGTTGTAAATAAAGTATCCATGGCTGATAGTTGTTGACAGTCACAAACCATTGGGGTTAAGTTTTACATGATCACTTTGTGAGAATAAAAGCAGCTTTTGTCATGATCCTGGGTTTTTATCAATATTATGTTATTTTGTGGACTTCTGTGTTTGTGTTGCTTGTTTTTTGTTATTCAGTCATGTTTAATCTGCTTCCTGTTTTATTTTGTAGATTCTCTCCTCTTGTGTAATGTCTGGTTTTACTCCCTGTCTTTGTTCGCCTGTTTCCTGTCACACCTGTCTTCTACGAGTCTCGTTAGTCCTGAGCTTTTATTCCTAATGAAAAGAGAATTGACGCGTTGAAAGCAAACACAAATGCACTTAGGGATGTTACTTTAGATGTCCCCAAACTTTCTGGTACTGAAAAAGAGCTTTACTGACCTCTACCCACAGCTGACTTTTGAAAGCTTGCGATGGTTTGTATTGATTGGTTTGTATTGACGTATTGATTTCTTAAAGCTGTTATTTTTCCATTTTTCAAATTTGATGACCAGACTCCAGTCAGCAACTGCGTATCCTCTGACTTGCACTTCAAACTCGCTCCAGCTTCCCCACTCAGACAAAAAGACCTGATATAAACAAGCGAACAGTGGCGCATTGTGTCGGCTGGTGTTTTCTGGGAACAGACGTCAGCTTCAGAGAGGCTCTCTTATCAAAGTGCTGTTGTCCTTTGAAGAGCGAGGCTAATCTTTCAAGGTCACACTAAAAGCACATTCAGAGTGAGAGGCTCTGTGAGAGACTTCATTGTCTGGCCTGTTGTTCTGCAGCAGAATAACAGTAGCCGGCACCTTTTATTTTTCCAACCAACAACAGTATTACAGAAGTTCTCCCTCATGGTTTTGTTATTTATTTAGTAGAGGAGGGTGATTCTTCAAATTGAAGTGAAGCACAGGTGAAGCAAAACTTGCATCAAAGTATTTTCTTCACACAATATACAAGTGAAAGAAGAAAAACCTGCATTTAGACAATAGTGAAGTGTTTCCAATTCATGGACTCACCTGTGATTCTTCCTATCTTCCCCTCAAACAGAGTCCCCACAAAACCAGCGACGTGCGCCCCAAGACTGATCCCGATGAAGTGGAAGGACTCTAGTTTGCATCCATGTTTCTGTTGCACAAGACAGATGCAATCTTTAGTCATTTTATTTTCACCTGAAACAGTTTCTGCAGTGGTTCTGTGGTAACTCTGAGTTTACTGGGTGCTAAACTGTGTCTCTGTTTTATTCAAATAGCAAAATCAGGACTGTGCATCACTCCTGAACAGCAACATACTTGAAACTAATTTGCTGTAGAATTTCTATCAGCACTTTCAGACGTAGTGGTGAGGCATGGCTGGCTGACCTGAAGGGAGGCAAAAAATGAGTTGTATTGTATGAATGACCGCACATTTTTCCCATTCTCTGTAGATTAGCGTACACCAGAATCTGGGCTTTGTCTGTTGCCCCAGAGGTCCACCAGTACTCCTACCCTGGAATGCCACAACTTCAACTTCAATTTTATTTTGTCCCTGGAGGGCAATGAGTTGCACAGCAAGTAAAAACATACATAAAAAGGCACAAGTGAACACATAAGAATATAGATACTCAAAATAACCAAATAAATAAAAATTCAGAGCAAATTGTATGGCTAGCAGCAGCTGAGAACAAGGGTAAGTAAGTAAAGTGCATCGTGACCCTACAAGATGGATAATATCGACTGTAAGATCAACATCTGTCAGTCATGATGCTGTTTTCAACATCAAACCATCTAGGCATCTATAGACATCTAAAAAAAAACATGGTTATCAACAACAAGCATCAGTATTAACATCATCTTAACCACCACCATCACTCATCATGTAATCATCCATGGTTCAAGGTGTTAAGTATTCAAATATTTTGTCAAAAACTACCCTGGATAACGCAAAAAAACCCAAACAAACACAAAAGAGGAAAGGCCCTATCTAGAGCCAGTGCTTGGTTTGACCTTCTGGGCTACTGTAGGACAACACGGTGGACTCCATGTAAGAGGACCTGCTCCCTATGTAGATATAAACAGCTCATTCTGAGGTAACAAAAACACAACAATTCTTAGATTCAGGTGATTATAAACTAATGAAAACATAGGTACATAATATTCTATTTCTGCCAATAGATGGCCCTAAATCCTACACACTGGACCTTTAAAACATCCATTAATTTAAAACAGCAAAAACAAAATCCCTTTGACAAATATGGAGGATGAGCTTTCCTTTTCCTCATAAATCCTTTTATTTAATTAAACACATTTTGTCAAACAACACAGGCTCAATCTCTAAATCTTCTCTCATTCCTTTCATATTTAAAAAATATTATACTGACTACACTCATAAAATGCCATGTGTAATTCACACAATTCCACCCACCAGTGACATGTCAATATGAAAACTCATGGTTTGAGTTTAAATGAGAAGAGCTAGCTGGTTCCATTACAAGCAATGTTTATTTTAAGCTAACATGTAGTTATGACTCCCTAAAGCTGGCACTATCTAATACATGTTTTAGCCCATTGCTAGCAAAACTAAATTATCACACTTTTTATCTGTTTAATGTGCATGAAGTCTTAAATGGTATATAACTACCTAACTTTGAGTTAAAACATAACTAACTTATAATTTGTATTTAAACAACTTTGTTTGCTAACATTCTAAGCTAGCTAACATTGGTTAGCATCTGACCTTGAAGCAAATGAAGGGGTTTATTGATCTTTGATAGATTCAGCTGTGAGTGAGGTCTTCCACACTGTTTTATCCATATTCAACATTTCTCCTCTTTAATATTTGGCTTTCGAAAAGTGAAAAATTCGACTCCTTATGCTGAACATAGAGGATATTTCCAGGTTCTCTGAGAGCCCGAATAGCCTCCTGCATAGTTGAGATTGCTAAAGTAGGATTGAAGGCGGCCATTTTAGGGAGGGGCTTAGCGACATAGACATATATACATAGACGCCGCATTGACTGCCGCTGCCTATCAGAGCTGACGTCCTCGCCGGCCACCATCTTAGATGGGTCTCGCTTCGCCTCCACAGTGCATTCACTTCTATTGAGGAAGGATCTGTATGCACAAGTAAAATAGAATAACTCACTGAATTTTCAACTGATTTTCACGCGGTTTGGTTTGTTACAAACAGCACACGTAGTTATGATACAGGATGCTTTCGTACATTAAAAATGCGGGATTTCATGCTTTAATACTTTCTGCAGATAGCAACAGCATGTTATTTAGGTCACAACACAGTTATTTTCTTCACCTCAACCCCAGAGTGGGATATATACAGTACAGGCCAAAAGTTTGGACACACCTTCTCATTCAGTGCGTTTTCTTTATTTTCATGACTATTTACATTGTAGATTCTCACTGAAGGCATCAAAACTATGAATGAACACATGTGGAGTTATGTACTTAACAAAAAAAGGTGAAATAACTGAAAACATGTTTTATATTCTAGTTTCTTCAAAATAGCCACCCTTTGCTCTGATTACTGCTTTGCACACTCTTGGCATTCTCTCCATGAGCTTCAAGA